TGGATATAAGAAGATGAACTGTTTGTAAAATGTGGAGTTATTCAAAACTGTGAGGTTTTTCTACACCAAGATACAGCAATCCACAAACAAGCCAGGCAATAATAAATACAACAGGTTTTAACGACGGTTAAAAAAAAAGTAAACTCCCGCCAACACTTACAAATACTGTTCATATTGAATTAAAAAAATGATTAGAATAAAAGATGTTTTCATATTTTTCATTTTGAATTTTAGTTGTTTGATTTAAAGTGATATACTTTTTAAAGATTATTTGACACTTATCAAAAAGGGTCATGAAGAGAGAAGAGAATTCTGCACAAATGGTACTGATGTCACCAACGATCACCATCCAGTTCAAACGACAATATCTTTACGCTGCACAAAAATGTAATGTTTTCGGCATCAAAGACATCGATTTCAAAGATAATAAAAGTGAACACATTACAAACATCATAAAAGAACCTTTGTCCCAATAGTATTATTTGAAATATGTAAATAAAACGTTTCCTGCTACTACATACTGAAAGCCACAAATTATGTCTTTATTTTTTTGCCACACATAAAACAGTTTGTGCTAAAATCATTGAACAAACTGTATTGCGTCAGACGCCTGAACTTTATAAAATGTTGTTTTTTACAATAATAATACTCAAATGTTATTTCTTGGTTTCTATTGTGCGAATTTATTGCAAATTACAGTGATTCATGTAATGCCTTGTTTACATTGATATCAATACGGCTCAAGGTTCTGTGACACCTTTCACTTTTAGTACACTAGGCCGTTTTGGCGATGCAGTCAATTAGACAACAGTACCCCAACACATGTAACACGAAAGACATAAAATATGCTAACAAGTTTAACTTTTGATTAACGCAATTTTGAAGCGAGATAGACAGAAACAATTATCTCAATATAGATACCAGGATTAAAGTTGTGTACATAAGAGCGGCACGTTTCGTTTACCAAAGACTCATTAGTGACGCTCGATTAAAAAAGTTAAAAGGCTAAATAAAGAGGGGAGTTGAAGAGTTTGTTGAACAATAATTTCGAATGGCGTTGCCAAATACATTCTTTGGGTAAAAAAATCAAAAGTATTTCGAAAAATTCAAAGTTTTGTAAAGAGCTGATTTATAATTATGACCATATCAACTTACTCATTTATTGGCACATTGTCCTGAAAAGGTTTCTACATTTTCAATACATTCGTTCATAATAACATAATATACATACCTGTGTATGTAGTGTCTAACAACTAATTCATGTTCTATGTATCAATGAAGGCGATTCGATTGCATGTGATAACTTACCAATAATGCATCAGTACAATATAAAAAAAATTCTTCAAAAAGTTACATGTACTAATTGATACTAAAGTCTGGAACAACATGACTTTTTAAGGAGTTAGAATTTGCTTTAACCAGTTTTCAGTAACTGCAAATGATCCTATAAATGTGCTTTTTTTCTTTTTTCTTTTTGTTAGTTTTGTGTTGCGTGTGCTGACCTAAAGAAGTAAGCCCTTTGTAGCTGAATTTTACGGTTTGTTTTTATATGGTGCTGTTACGCCACTATTCAAGGCTATGGAAGAGGTGTTGAGCCCAGTCAAACACGTTTCATCCCGCCATATTCTTCATGTCAGGAACCTGTACAATATTGGTTCGTCTTTTGAGTCTTTTATAGCTTACAATTTCAGTATACTATTTGCTTATTGGCAAATAGTTTTTTACATCTTCATCCTTTAGTCTCTCATACCTTGTTAGTCATTTTACATAATCATTATTCTATTGTTAGTTTATTTCACAATTCCCACAATCATACATAAACAGAGCCTAGAATAGAATTAAAAGCATGTAAGGAACGTGATTGCATGAACATTATATGGAGATAAATTAACAACAAAAGCAGTTATTTTCATCAATTGATTAATATTTCTGAGTTAACAAGAGAATATCTATATAGTATATTTAAACTCTCAAGTCCTCCTCTTCATTATAAGTGTAAAAGAGAGGGAAAGAATGTAAATGCAATTGTTTAAAGTTGAGCCCATAACATTAATCGGAAGATGAATTATTTTAAATAATAGGAATATTGACTTTAAATGTGACCTTCATGTATGTTCTTCGGTTCATTGAATGTCCGTTTATGATTTATCAGTCTAAAAAAAATATCTTAACCAAAACTTTAAAAGTAAAAAATAAGAAAATAATCAAAATCCATCAAACAGAAATATATAAACAATTAAAAGCCAACATTAATCTTCTTAATGATTGATAAGAAGGTACTTCAAGTTAACTCGAGGTTATTATTGGCATCCAATCTTAAGTTTCTTCATACTGATTCCAAAAATGTATGGTTTCTATATACTTTTGCCTGAAAAATGGAGATAATATGCTAATTCCGGTTATTAAAATGACGCTTCAAGCCATAAATGATTGTTTTATTCACACATTTTCCAAAAATATTTGGTTTCTATTTATTTTTGACTGAAATAAATAACTTTCGGTTAAATAAATATCAATCCCTGTCTCATATGATAGCTTAATTAATATTATTTCCAAAACTATAAGATTTCTATTAGTTTGCCTGAAATAAGGGAGACAATTAGCTTCATCCGGTTCATAGATGGTCACTTCCGGTCTCAACTTATAGGTTAATGTCTGCATATTAAACAAATATATGGTTTCTAGGTACGTTATCTTGAAAAGTGCAAAAATGGCTACTTCCGTTTTACTCAAGGTTCCTTCGAGTTGATATTTTTCAAGGTCATATGTCACCCAACTTTTTCAAAAGACTTAATGACTTTAATATGTACCAGTATAATAATCAATTTATCTTAAATTTTACAATATCAGGTGCAATAACTCATACAAGATGTCATCATTGCAGATGCTACTCAAATTTTATAAAACGTCACCAGTGTCGAAGTAGAAAGTTGATGAACCAGGGTTATGTCAAAGAACGTCTCGTCCTTTTTGTAAAAAGGTTCATCGGAAGATACCAAGACCTTGTTGATAAATATTCCGTATCAACTTCACAAATAATACATGATGTTCTTGGAGTAAAAATGTTAGGTACTGAGATTGTTCATCATCTCAATTACATGTTATAGTGTTCTTTTATTTGTCTTTGTAAATTAATAGCCTTTTAGTAATATCCTTTGGGCGTGGCTCGGTACTTATACATCCCGCCATTGTGCTATTGTGCTATGGTCATTTGTTGTATTTTTGTCTTTCATTTTTGCTTATGTGGGTTGTCTATATGTCTTTTTGTTTTTCATTGTTGACATATTTATTTGATTTTATAGTGATTAAGATTATGACACACTGTTGACTGCTGTACCCCTATTTTTGACATTTTTTTACTATTATATCTGTTTGTTTTGTTCACACATTGTTGTCAATATAATGGAATTATATGCGACTGTCATACAAATGAGAGGTTAAGCTAGCTATAAAACCAGGTTTAATCCAGCATTTTCTACATTAGAAAATGCTTGTACCAAGTCAGGAATGTGACAGTTGTTTTCCATTCGTTTGATGTGTTTGAGCTTTTGCTTTTGCCATTTAATAAGGGACTTTCCGTTTTGAATTTTCCTTGGACTTCGATATTTTTGTTATTTTACTTTTTATCAAATGTACTTTTTTTTTCTCTCAATAACCCAAACAGTATGCATCAGTTCTTTTGGACCTACATTTTATACTTAAGAGGAGGTACACACAAAAGCAAATGGTAAATTTAGAACATGACCTTGACACATTACGTTGACCTCATTTTCATTTTGAAAGATACCGTAGTTCTCTTTCACTTACGGTGCATGAGTTACATTTATATATCACTTATGTCAAACACAAAAAGGGAAATGGCTCTCATATGGAGTCTCAGAATCGCTTCGGTTAAAATCGACCGAACCATCCTGAGGATTAAACGAGCAATTTGGCAAAATAAGTTTGTCCATTTCTTTTATGGTTACAGAGGTGATGCGTCCACAAGAAAAAACAGTGTTTGTGGAGATAATTCCCAAAATAAGAAGTGTTCGGTAAACGGGGTTAGTTTCAAGCGCAATAACTGTTCGATATCATATGACAAATATCAAAACAACATCTTGCGAAACCACTTCACACCGCTGGGAAAAAAACAGAGGAAAAAGAAAAAAATAGTAATAATCAGAACACAATCAGGAGATCTTTCCATGGAAAAGTGGAAGGACCAAATAATCAGAACAAAATCAAAAGTGGAAAGACCTCATTAGTAGTAACAACATTAAAGATATCAATTATGCTGCACCAGATGCGTATTTCGACAATAAATGTCTCTTCAGTGAAGCTCAAGGTCAAACTATTTGAAAATCCAAAGCTTATGAAGAAAATAAAGAGCTTTTTATAAAAGGACAAACAAGTATAGCCAAAGTCGGGAAAGGAATCAAAACTTTGCATGAGATATATTCCTTAATTTAAAATAAGTTCCAAAATTTTGTTACAGCAAATTTTACTAACACAAACACCGTAATGTCATGCCAGTACCGTAGTGTTGGCTACCGGGCTGTTGAAACCCTTAGGGGCTAAAGTTGGCCAGCAGAAGAATCGACCCAGTGGTAGTAATATCATTAACGGTGCCAATAGATGTTCCTTAGTGACTTTCGGCTTGATACAAGTCATCTATGTTAAAGCCCTCTGAAGACACGATACTTATTCCTTGACCAATGTCTCGAAATGATAAGTATGGATAGCTATCGAACATACAATATAGAGAATATCACTGTAAGAATATTATACTTTGTATCCTACAATTTCCCAAAAACAAACACCTTAATAGATAATTACTGTCTGGCCAAATTGTACCGTGTCAAGCCTCTTTCAGAGATAGATTGCATTAGTTTATTTGTTGTGTCGTTCATTTGGAGTTGATTTTGGCAGTATCAGTCATTTTATAAATTTTACTGAGTGGAATGCTATGTATGATCAAACTTACTAGTCATGTATCTGAATAAACTAAGACTAAGGCATTTAAAAGGAAAACAAATGTTTATTTCGTATATTTTATGATACGTTTTACTTTGTACAAACGACACAAAGAACATCTACTTCATTGGTATACGGAGGACATCTTAAACTGCCACATTTGGTGCGTAAAGGATAAAACAAAGCTCCGTTTTCATCTCCATTCTTCTTATCCAATGGTTCTGCACTTTTGTCAACACAGGCGTAGTCTCTTTTGAAATGGCCGTTATTATCACTCATCAAATAACCGTTATATTCTGAGTTCCATCCTTTATAGCAAGTCTGTCTACCTAAATTTTTTATGAATTGTATAATAACGATACGTAGTTCCTATCTATTCTTAATCTGGTAAGAGTTAAAACATCATAGAAACATTACTTGACATTTAGGCACGAATATACAATGTATGTAAGGTTATGTCTTAAAGAGTCACTGGTTAAGTGTTTAATCGTATCTCTAATACATTGTCCTACCTCACATTTTAGAAAGAATAAGATTTAAAAACGTTTACTCCTTTACCATGTTAAGAAGAAAAGTATTTCACCGTTAACGAGGACGCTGTGACTTATGTCTGAGTAGCTGTCTTTTCGTTCTGATATTTCATTGTGAAATTTTTTGTTTAAATTGTTAACAAGAATCAGTCAAAACGTAACTTTAAATTTGAAAAATAAATAACTAAGTTCTTATAACCTTTTACATAAATTAGTTCATTCAGGAAAAAGATTTAAACTGCTCTTTATATATACAAATAAGAAGATGTGGTATAATTGCCAATGAGACAACTCTCCACCAGAGACCAAATGACTAAACAATTAACAACTATAGATCACCGTACGCAATGAGAAAAACCCATACCGCATAGTCAGCTATAAAAGGCCACGAAATGACAAGTGTAAAACAATTCATATGAGAAAAACTGACGGCCTAATTTATGAACAAAATAATGAACCAAAAACAATTATGTCTGGGTATTTTTGGTATTTGTATTTAATCATATATATCTTATGATGTCGAGCATTGTGATGTACCGATGAAGTTAAACCAGACAACTTGTATCGACATTCCTATTATGATATCAGTATCAATATATATGAAATTCGAATTTGGAACATCGTATTACTATTTTTTACCTGGTATCATCATGACAGCTGATCTTCGTTTTTGATAACATACAGAACATGGCACTTCCTTGTTATGCATACTTTCTGACCATCCTGATGGCTTCATTGATGAACCAAGTTCATATTCACCTCCATGAACCTGGTCATTGCTATATGGTTGATGCTGTCCATTCTCTGGATCATTAGGGAGACATAAATAATTTACTCCGCCTCCTTTATACGAATATTGATTTCCACCGACTTGTCCTGTAAGGAAAAAATGTGTTCAAACATCAATTGTGAAGAACATCAGTATAAAAAGATGAGGTATTATCAAAATGAAACACTCACCCATAAAAAAGGTCGACATCAAAAACAGAAAAGTTTTTGATCAAACGTATATAACATTTTTCGAAATAGTATTTATATCCTAATGGCGAAAAAACAAATTTGGAAAATCAATCATGATATTCAAAATCACTGTGACGAAAAACAAATTCTCTAAACTTTACTAAAAGGTTTTGTATTTATATACTTGACGTAGGTAGCTTATACAAGAAATTTTTTTCATTACCTGAATAGACTATGTCAACTCCTTTTGGGCAACCCTTCTTTCCCCAACGTACATAGGTCACTCCTAAAGATAAACACAAAAGACAACAAAATCAAATTATGACAACAAAATCAAATACAACTAAGATTGTTGTTTTGGTCACTTTTAAGGGATTACCATAAGTTACATAAATTGAGAAGGATAACAGTCTAATTATAGATTCATAGTTCAAACATAGTATTGCATGGTGTTTGATAAACAAGTATTTTCAGAAAGACATTATCATCACTATTGATTTTTATACTCAAAATATGTAATTTCATAACTCAAAATAGTAAGCATTTACATGTATAAGTTGCGTTCAACGCTTTAAATGATAAAAAAAGATACATCAAACTTGATAAACCTGAAACAACCTGTATTGAGTGTTTTGCTTTGCGGTGGACATTCGTCTTTCCTTGACGTATGAAGGTAATGTTTCATCATATCTATCAGTGACTGATCTGAGGCCGACAGGTCATAGTCCTTACATCTATGGCTGTAGACAATCATCATAACAGTTGCTAGCACAAATTGCACATAAGCTAACCACATATTGATTCTGCAAATGATATAGAATACAAATTGTAATCTTACACATTCTGTATCAGAGAAATAATTTAAGGTTAAGTTTAGAACAGGTGAAATTTAGTATTCTATCTGTGTTAAATAATTATACTCGTTAAGTTTGAGATGTGGTCTTTTTCATTCGATTTTTTATTGTCTTTTTGGCTGAATTTGTGTTGCTCAGTATCTAATTTTTAATTTGAAAAAAAATTAAAACTCTTATGCATTTTCAAAATAAAGATACCTGACGATTCTAAAAGGCAATACTGTCATGTTTGCTGTCTGTTCAATTAAATTGTTTAAAAAAACGTTGACCAATGATTAATTTCCCTGACTAATTTGGACATTTATATGCATATATATTTTAGTCTGCTTTCTTTTCTGAGCAAATGAACAATTCCACGTAAAGCGATGCAATTCATACGTACAACAATATATGCCTGGCATCGTTTCTGAGTTAACTTTTTCAGTGTTAATATTTCTTTCTACCTTAAATAAAAAAGGTACTGTAAAAGTTAATAACATACCTCTTCCTCTGGTCTGTTTTGAAATGGCAATACAACAGGTCTACAAAATTATCATGGCTGGTGCTATAACATATATAGTATAGGATAATGAGGTGTTTGCGTGACTAGATATTTATTTTTTTATACATACATGTAATATGTATATCACATATTTAGTAGTATTTAGAATGATAGTAAAAACAAACTAGCATTATCTTCGTAATATATCTAATAGATAGACTATGCCCTCTCACTGTTAGAGTCAAGAATTAAAGACTAGCAGTAAAAGTATTTCAGTTTTTCTTTTTCCAAACATATACACCACAATCACTTGCAATATATTTGGATCAACATTCACAGCACCAATAGAGCCAGTACAGGCTACATATTGCGATCAACACTCATAGAGCCAATAGAGTCAGGAAAATGACAGTCAGCTTTTAGATTCCTTTTATGTTTTTATTGCAATTTTCGATTTGATTTGTCCTTAAACGTAAAAATCGGATTGGGGAAAAATATTTTACTCTTATATAAACAAATATAACCTTTCAATTATCAAAAAGCTGTCTTATGTATTTCCTCAATGTATAAATAAAAGAAATCAGATAATAAAACTTCCAACAATAATAGTTATATGAATTCTAGAATCAGTATTAACCACCACTAGACTAGAATCATATACACAGGAAGCGGGAGGACTTGTTGAAGTTCTCCAAGAAAACAAATGGAATCGGTTTGACTTCCAGTGCTTTAGTACAATAGAGGCATCATTGGTGTGTCGATCACTTGGATATCCGTATGTATACCATTTAATATAATATTTGGTAGAATATACAATATATGTTTGTAATACAATCATCTTGACATATTTAAAGTTCCTTATGACTAACATGTACATATTTGTGGGATGGAATTTATATTGGTTTTAACACGGGTTTTCCCTTTATGCAAAATAATGTACCACGATCAATAATAAGGGGTAAAACATTGGTATGAAATGTCAACCCGGGGTTAAATCAATGTAAATTCAAGGCCCAGTGGATTGTACGATTCTAGTACACTATTTTGTTCGAGGCGCTGTAGATCAATTTAAATATTTACTCTTATCGTTTTTGAACACTACAAAATAATATTGACGTACAAGCCGAACAAAACTGAATAAGTGACTTGCTTAAATGATTTCATGAATCACAGGCGTATAAAAAGTTTGTAAGTTTGACATAGTTCACAATTTGGATACTTCTCCATTCTAGTTCTTCTAATAATAAAATTTGAGTTGACATTACGCGTGATTACCGCCCGCATTATCATACAATATTTTGTAAATAAATTACAGACTCACTTACTGCACCTATTCAATAAATTCGAATGGTATTTAAGAACTCGTGCCTTAAACAAATTCGTGTCATCCTTGGTTTACATGTTTCTGTGTTAATTTATATCTGCCGAAGCCATTGGAGTAAATTGTAATGATAAAATGGTTTTTTCAAAGATCGTCTAGAGTACATACAGTCTACGACTCTTTACTCTTTCAATAGAATTAAAAATTTGACTTTTCTACTTTTTACACAAGTGTTCCATACTCCAAACTAAAAGACAAATTGAAAGAGTTGGTCCTCCTTTGTTTCATATAAAATGGCCAACGTAGATACAAATACCTTATCTTAGAGAGAATAAATCGTACTTTGTAAAACATCACTCTGGTTCAAACAAAAAAATTATCTGACACTGATATTATCAAGATGCCTGAATCTTGATTAACACCATATTTGTTGCGTTTGAAGGACATGTTTTTCAACAAACAATCAGCATTCCCATGGAAACCAAATGTGGGATGGAAACAATTCCCATGGAAACCAAAATTTCATCATCCCTACTGTGAATTTTTCATTTCTATGTAGCAAGATTCCAGCATCGCCTGCATTTGGATTATCTATCTCAAAGTTCAATAAAGACAACAGTATTATACCGCTGTTCAATAGTCATAAATTGATTTAACGGAAATAAATTTGGGTCACAATCAAAAACCGAGGTAAACACATCAAATATAAGAGAAAAACAACGGAACAACAGAAACACTGAACTGCAACAAAAACAAACGCCAACATACATAGAAACGGACTATTTGATAACAACTCCCATATTCCCGACATTTTAAGAAAACATGGTGGGTAGAACCTGGTTTCATGGCTAGCCAAACCTCCTGCGTATATGGCAATGTTAATACCGCTAAAATGACAATATTACGTGACAGAAATGCAGAACAAATAAATGCAAGAACACTCAGGACAGAGAAATACATAAATAAATAATATAATAGTACATTACAACATGTAAACCACAGAATATCAACAGACACTTCCCATACGATATTCCAGAGCTTATATTTCCTATCATGATTCTCTTGATATGTTTGCTGGGAACAAAAAAGGATTTTGCAACACCCCCTTTCGTCGCGAAAGGAGTCGCGGTCTTTGAAATTAAAAACCACCTGTAGTTCACAACGTGTATATTGATGCTTTCTTATCCTCTGTTCATAAATCTTGGGGAATTAACTATGTGCAAACTAAATTGTTTTCCATACCATTTTAAAAGCTCAATACAGGATATTCATATGCACCCGAAATGATGTAAACTTCAAGCCTCCGATTCCTTTCTTGCACCATTTTCTAATACAAATATTAAATAATGGTCATTCCTCAGCCCGTCCACTGGAAGCAGAAGTTGAGGTTACTGATGCATGAAGTTTATGACTACAATATAAAAATAAAGAGATGATGTATGATTGCCAATGAGACAACTATCCACCAAAGTTCAAATAAAGTGGATGCAAGCAATTATAGGGAACCGTACGGCCTTCAACAATGAGAAAAAACCCACACCGTATAGTCGGCTATAAAATAGTATGCTTAAAAATTAATAAAGCGCAAGTCCGATTTCTTAAACTGGTCATTTATCTGAATGGAATAAATCTGTTCTGTCATGCAATCAGATGCTCATTAAAAAATACGATGTACAATGAGCATACGGGTTTCTGACCTTTGTAGAAACCCAAGGATACAAATGCATTATCCTCTTTCATGACACATGTGTTTTTGTTTCAGCAAACAAATCCTGAAACAATTTTGTTTTATATGGAAAATCATTATTTGGAATGTCTCACTAAGGATATTGGAATTCACAGCAAACATTGGATCCAACATATCCACATACATCATTCAAGAAAGAGAAGATTTATTAAATCGCAAATCATCTCTTCATTTCCTTTGTATTAATTGTATTAAAATAAATAAAAACACGATACAAGTCTCCGATATTTACACTGGATAACTTAACTTCACAAAAATCATGTGTCATCAAGATCTTTTCAAAGTTCCTACCAGCATTCTTTATACAGTAAAATATGGTCTCTAGAAATATTGCGATGATGTGTATTTATCAAGCGTTGTCAATCAGATGTGGATTATCAAATATTAGAAAGATATACTCAATAAAATTTTCAACCACAAATGTGCAGAAATATAATTACCTTTGGTTTCTTCTATGTTTAACACTACTAGTATCCATATGCATGCTCAATTGAAAACTCGACTTCAACGTACACATTTCTTGTTTTGGGTCATGAAAAATCATACTTTATAAAGATCCACACTGACTCCAAAGACCGTAAATTGAGATATAAAAATCCAAGTAAAGGCGGTATCGATCCTAAAAATAAACTTGTTCTGAATGGTTATCAATTTAACATTGTAATAAAAAGTTTGAACATTGTTTTCACCAGTATCAACATTGATTTTCTTATCAATAAATTAATGCATTATTAAATAAGTTTTGTTAAACAGTTATAAAGGCCTACGATTCTACATTCTGTCGATACTTATTTTTTTGGCATTGCACAAGGTTTTTTTTTTATTTCTACACTGTCTATGACTTCATCACACTAAATACATTGGATGTGTACTGATTGATATTTTGTTTTTGACATACAATATATGGTGTTTTTGTAGTTGTGTTATACTTGGAACTAGCTTCCAGCAACTTCTTGGATCTCAGATCGGTATTTTGTGTTTTTAGTATTTTTGTTTGTTTGTTTCTGCGCTTTGTATCGATCTGATGTGTCAAGCTATTTTAACTGATTTTAATAGTGTGTTTTTATGTTGTGCTGTTACACCACTGTCACATTTTTGGAGAAGGTTGGGCGCCTCGCCTCCAAACATGTTAAACTCTAATCAGGCTGTTGGTTTCTCGTTTGAATTTATTTACGTTATGTTTTTTAATGTCGGGGCCTTTTTTAAGCTTGTTATGCAGTGTATATTTTTTAACTGATAGCTTCTATTAATATTTTATTTTTTTTTATTTGTTCCAGGTTTTTTCATAATTCATCGCCTTTTATATTTGCTCTTAACCCGTTGTCTATTTTCCCTATAAACAAGCTAACCAATTGAACATTTAAGTTTGTAAAACTTGAATTTCAAACAACCTTCATATGCTTATCATGCTTATTTTCATTATGAGTGTAGGTTAATTATGTTGGGAAATAAAAGCTTTTACTTTAAAAATCAGTTATCTTCCGTTTCGCTAGCCAATAAGAACAATAGCTATCCCTCGTCTAACGAAACACCAGCTATGTTTAATATCAATTGCGTTAGTATGATCTTATAAGTTCATTTATAGTTATCTTAAATTTAATTAGCACCATTCGGCCCATTTTAACTGAACAACGTTTAGGTAAAATCAAAAATCAAAAACAAAAAAACGTTTAAATCCGGTCAAGTGGTTGGATATGCTAAACACTGAAATTTCTTTATGTACACTGAATGCTCTTCAACTTCAACTTTGTGTTTGTTTTGGCTTTATAACTATTTTGATCTGAGCGTAACTGATGAGTCTTATGTAGATGAAACTCGCGTCTGGCGTATTAAATTATAATCCTGGTATCTTTGATAACTATTTACACCACTGGGTCGATGCCACTGACGTTATCCAGATGGTATCACCAGCCCAGTAGTCAGCACTTTGGTGTTGACATGAATATCAATTATATGGTCATT